AATATACTTAATTAGCAAGGATATTTTAGGAATAACAACACTTATTTATTTAAATAAACAACTTAACTTACTTCCTTAATCTCCTCAATAAGTCAATTGGGTCTTATAATTAGGACCGGAGGAGTATTAAAAGATCATTAGATGTAAGAAAGAGCAAAGATAGTTATTAACTCCCTATAGCATGACCTAACATCAATAATTGACTTTCTTGTTGCTATTGTAGTTGCAAATTAGGAGACCATATTATAACTTAAATTAATGAAATTATAATACACAAATGAAATTTCAAACAAATTATTACACCCAAGTTAAAGATAGAGGGGAAAAAAAAAACTAACGAAAAATTGTCGAGAGCTATTTTAGCTCTCCAACATTGCATATTATTATTTCACAAATGAGGGATATGGTTTATAATTATCTTAATATGCAATGTAGTTTTTTTTTATAATTTTAAATTTTATAATACTCAGTCTGCTATGTTTATAATATAAAAATATTTTGTAAAAAATACTACTTCTTTCGATTTTCATATAAAATCTATTTAACTAATTTAATTAGATAAAAAAGTTAGAATGTTTTAATTATAAAAAATATAACACTAATATCCTAATTCTCTTTCTTAACATCATCTTTTCCTCTCTTACTTGATTGTGGTTAAGAGAGTATCAATAGAAATAGTTTAAAAAATTAATAAATATGATAAATAGGATTTACATTTTAGACTAAGATTAACTCAACAATTATGTTTTACATTAAAAGGCAGAGGAGTGCGATATCAATAAATCTTACCTCAAAATACCCATTATAATTTAACGGGAAGAGAAAAAGTACAAGACGTTACTGTTAAATGAAGGGTATTTTTGAAAATTTATACTGCTATTTGGAAAAAAAAAATTAGTGCTAAATTTTTAAAAGCATCTTATAAATTTTAAATTTCTCTCTCTCACGTTGTTCATTCTTTACTCATAAGTTTTTTTTCCTTTATGAAAGAAAAGAAAAAAAAATACTTATAGTTTAATTTAGAATCTAAAGAAATGCATCATAAATAACACAAAGGTGTTAAATCCGTTTAGAAAATACTCCTTCAATTCTTAATATATGATCTAATTATTAAGTTAATTTTAGTTTTAAATATAAGACCTATTTTTTATGTTTATCAATTTTTTCTAAATTATCCCTATGAATATTCTTTCAATCATAATCAAGTAGATGAGAAAGAAAGGATATTAAGAAAGATACTTATAGTATTTTAAGAAAAATATATCATATTTTTTATAATTAACTAACTTACCTAACTTATTAATCTAATTAAATTAATTAAATAAATCTTATATTAAGAATAGAGGAGTAACATCTTAATACTATTTTACTCAAATAAAACAGCTTGGATCAATTTATGTAGAATAAAATGTGTGGAAATGAGATGGCGTTGACCATTGAGCCAGAGCCGCGCAAGAATTGGCTTCCTCACCTCGATGAGGCTGTACGAAAACCGTACTATTTTATAGGATGATCTGGTCACTGCCTGCAAATTTAATGACCGTTCATACTTGTTGCCTGCAAATATGTTATATTTTTAAGAAATAATATAATATAATAAAAAATTGTTTCAAATAAACGGAAGTTTATCCGCAATTTTTTTCGCCATCAACAAAATAGTTAAGTTGTCTTAGCGATTCTTGTTGGCAGTAGAATCAATGTCATGTTACCAAAAAGTAATCTTCTAATCCTATTTACATGCCCAAAATTATTTTTTATTAATATAAGTAATCTCACCAAATTATTATATGAATCTAAGTTTATTTCTAATTTTTTCTTCAGTATAAACTTAGAGTTTTTTCAAGTTATTTAAAACCCTTTGACAAGGTGTTTTTTATGAGATTCAAACTTATTATTGACTTGATGGAATTTCTACCATTAGTTATCTTCTTCATGATTTGAGACTGTTTACTATTTCAATTAATAACTTTTTGGTTACTTGATTTCTAACTTATTATTTAGTATACTATTATTTTTAAAAAAATATATAGTTAATAGAAATAAAAAGATTAATATAATTTTTAGTCTTTTAAATTTGTTTTATTTTTATTTTGGCCGTTTAAATTCAAATTATAGGTTTTAGTTTTTGAAATTTCTTTTTATTTAAAATACTTGTTTCTATAATTCAATAAAAATTGAGATCATTTTGTCCCTTGAAAGACTAAAACTTATAGTTTCAAAACTTGAGAAGCCAAAAATCAAAATGAGAGTAAACTTGAGGAACCAGAAACTATATTAACTTGAAATAAAATTAGTAAATTTTACGATAAAGTTAATATGATTTAATATTTTCTTTATTTTGAAAAAACAGGTTGTAAGTATTTTATAAACAGAATTAAAAAAATATTTATTAAAGTCTTACCTATTAAATCATCATTTATTGACATTTTTTGCCAAGCTAGAGTAGGTCTCTTTCATATAAGTGGTCTTTAGATTTTATAACAATAGGAGTAGAAAGTGGAAGATTTTATTAGTAAGGGCATTATGGGGTATGGGTCTTTGTCAAAATTGGCCGTCGTACAGGCCGCACTGTAATTTGTCCTTCCTCGCATAATCCTCCCCCACATATCGTCTCCCTTTTCTAACATAATAACGTAACTGTCACTCCTTTTCTTTATTCCCCAAAATGCCCCTATCCTTTTCCGTCCTTACCTGTCCTTCTTCTCCGTACGGAAGTCAATCTACTCTTAATGACTTAAATGCCCTCCCTTCCTCATTTTCTCATTTTCCCAGATTATTACATGGGCTCCCCAAGTTTATCCCCCTACATTGTGAATTTCAAGCTCAACACAATCTTAAAAACTAAATTTGATGTTACAATAATTATATGTTTAATCTGAGTAAAAAATGGGGAATTTTGGCACTGCTCTTGTAGAATTAGAACCACAGAGAAACTCCTGTGAAATTTTGGCAACGACACGAGGATACTAATGTCTTTTCAGATCAAGGGGAACACAGAGATCAACGTCTGAATTCTCCGCAAGACGGCGACGAGGGCATTTCAGTCTTCCAATTCCCTGATTGTCTCCGTCTTCCTTGCTAAAAACAAAAGTCTTCTTAAATAATCTCGGCCTCGCCCTTTTAACGACCAGATTCATCACTCATAAGGAACAATATCTCTTTCAATAATCCTTTGTTCTGTAATCTCACAGATCTTCGCTGAAGAGGAAGCAGGGCTGCATACACTCGCAGATATCTTCCTTGTTCTCCTCCTTTATAGCCATGAAGAAGCAAAAATCCCCCGCGACGCAGAACCCGTTTGATGTTCTCTCTGAGGAGCTCGTCTTCAGCATCCTCGACCACCTTGATTCTAACCCGCTTGACAAAAAATCATTTTCCCTGGTTTGTAAGTCTTTCTATTCCATCGAAGCTAAACACCGTCGAACCCTGAAACCCCTTCGCTCAGAACACCTCCCATCAGTTTTAAATCGATACCCTTTTGTAACCCATCTCAATCTTTCCCTTTGCCGTCGAGTCACCGATGGTTCCTTGGCGTTTGTGGCAGACGCTTACAAAGCCACGCTCCAACGGATTGATCTATCCCAGTCCAAGTTCTTCTCCAGTAATGGGTTGCTTAATTTAGCTATGAACTGTAAGAATCTGGTGGAGTTGGATTTATCGAATGCGACGGAGCTGAGAGACGCGGCGGCGTCTGCGGTGGCTCAGTTTTCGAACTTGGAGAAGTTGTGGGTGGGGAGGTGCAAGCTGATTACGGACATGGGAATTGGGTGTATTGCAGTCGGGTGTAAAAAGTTGAGGTTGATTTGCTTGAAGTGGTGTGTGGGTGTTGGCGATTTGGGGGTGGAGTTGATTGCTATCAAGTGTGAGGAACTTCGTAGTTTGGATCTCTCTTATTTACCTGTGAGCCCTCTCTCTATCTCTCTCTCTCTCTCTCTCTCTCTCTCTCTCTCTCTCTCTCTGTTTCAATTTTTTCTTATCTCTGCTTGTCTGCTCTTTCAATCTTTTGGATGAAACTTGAAGTTCAGTTGATCAAGTGCTGCAATTAAATTATGTTATATGTATATCTTTAATTAACGGAATAATCTTACATGTATTTGCTGTTATTCTGGAAGGCAATCCGGAGACAAGGATTTTGTAGAGGAAGCTTGTGCTTTGGTCAATGCTATGCGCAATTAGGGATTTCGATTTTTTTAATTTTACAGCTTGAATTATGTTTGAAAACGAGGTAAATAATTGAATGGAGGTTAATTTTTCTATTGAAATTATTGGCATCATTAGTGGCCGAATCTGTTGCACATGGAACGCTGAGTTAGCGGAAGTTTTTAATAGTTGGTGATTTTGAGCTAAATAGCAAGGTTTAATGAGCACAATGTTGGTAATTACAAGTGGTGCTCAGATTTTTGAACCAGCTCTGCTGGGAAAAGAAATTAAGAAACAAAAGGTCTGGTAAAAAGTTGTTTAGGTCATTTCCTTTTCTTTTTTTTTGATGATTTTGTTTAGTTCATTTCTGTTTTTCATCCAGAACAAATGAAGTGATGTTTATCAGGTCCCACTGTTACAAAGAAATTCAGAATTAATATTTCTATTTTGAATTTTTCATTCAATTTTGAGTTAGACAATGCTTGATTACATCTTGTTTATTAAAATATTTTTGCGGGGTCATCTGGTTGAGATAACTGATTTCGTATGTTTCTTGTGATGGACAGATCACAGATAAATGTCTGCCATCAATTTTTAAACTGCAATATCTTGAAGATTTGGTTCTTGAAGGATGCTTTGGCATTGATGATGACAACACTGATGTCTTCAAACAAGGTTGCAGAACATTAAAGGTATATGTGGAAGGTTAGCTTGGCACTTTTAGTTTGTTAAATTGTCTGAACGGTAAAGATAGCACGAAGATGTTGTTGTTCGGCTTGTAATTGGACAGGAAGTGCAGGATGCCAGCTTTGACCTACCAATAGTTCACCAATTTCTGTGGCATTAGGAGTGTGAAAGTGGAAAGAAGCTAATTTATTTTTCCCTTTTTCTGTTTTATCAAAAAAAACAAATTGGTATAATGATTGCATTAATCTGTGTATTGTTCTTTTATTATTATTATTATTATTATTTTTGGCTCAGTATGGCTTTTTTTAATATCCCTGATGAACATGAGTTATCTAACATACTAACTAATGTTGCCTTATGCAGAAACTTGATATCTCTGGCTGTCAAAACATTACTCACATCGGTCTGTCTGCATTAATAAGCAGTTCTGGATGTCTTGAACAACTTAATTTAGCGGATGGTTCTCCTGTAATCTTCTGCTTCCTTTATAATTTTCAACACTTCAGGTTTTGAGATTTCGTTTTCTTTTTGGTCTTTGGTCCAGGGGATTCCAGCTGTAGCTAATTGTTCAAAGTTGATGATCCAGGTGACTCTTGCTCTGGCTGATGGGTTGAACAAACTTTCAATGTTGCAGTCGATTATATTAGATGGCTGCCTGGTTACCTCTTCTGGATTAAAGGCTGTTGGATATTCATGCTCGTCACTAAAGGAGCTGAGTTTAAGCAAATGCTTGGGTGTGACAGATGAAGCTCTCTCGTTTGTTGTTTCAAAACACAGAGATTTGAGAAAGCTTGATATCACATGCTGCCGCATGATAACTGACCTTTCCATTGCAAGCATTGCAAGTTCATGCACCAGTCTTACTTCTCTCAAGATGGAGTCGTGTAGCCTAGTTTCAAGAGAAGCATTCATCTTGATTGGACAGCGATGCCATTCTCTTGAGGATCTTGACCTAACCGATAACGAAATTGATGATGAAGGTTTTACATCCTCTCCATCATCTCCCCTGCAATTATAAATCCCATCAACTGTTATTCTTACCATTCTCTTTTTGTAGGTCTTAAATCTATTTCTTCTTGTGCCGGACTTTCCAACCTAAAAGTAGGAATCTGCCTGAACATAACTGACAGGGGGCTTTCCTATGTTGGCAAGTCCTGCCCGAAGTTAAAAGAGCTAGATCTCTACAGGTTTGTCCTTGAAATTTATGAGCTTTTGCATTTCTTTATTCCTGTCACAAGGTGAATAGTCTATACTTTCTTTCTTCCTCTTCTTAAAATTTTTATACCTGTAGTCTATACTTTCTTTGAAGACTTTGATAATGATTTTGAAATTACAACCTTGGTGATGGTTCATGCGTGAGCCTAAATGGCTCATGATCTAATTGGCAATGAAGCCCCTCTTGCTATTTAAGAAGTATTATTTGACGCACACACATACTCATAGATTGTAGAATTGTTATCCATGGTAACCAGAGATTATAATCTTTGTTCAGGTCGACAGGGATAACAGATGCAGGTATTTCAGCTATTGCTTGTGGCTGCCCCGAACTTGAGATGATTAATGCAGCCTATTGCACCGCCATCACTGATAGCTCCTTGATATCCTTATCGCAATGCCCTAAGTTGAAAACGCTTGAGATTCGTGGGTGTACTCTGCTGACTTCAGTTGGTCTAGCAGCTATCGCCAACAAGTGTACGCAACTTACTCGTCTAGACATAAAGAAGTGTCACAACATCGACGATAGAGGGATGGTTTCAATAGCTTGCTTCTCCCAAAACCTAAGACAGGTTTTCTCCTCATTCTTCACTTCCCGTAGTGACATAACATATGCAAGAAAGCTTTACTGGAAAAACTAATGTGGTGCCGTTTCTTTGCAGATAAATTTTCATACAGCTCAATTACTGATCTGGGTCTACTTTCCCTCTCTAGCCTTAGCAGCCTGCAAACCTTTACGGTTATCCATGTACAGGGCTTGACTCCAAGAGGACTGGCTGCTGCTTTATTGGCATGTGGAGGGCTAAAAAAAGTGAAGCTCCATCTTTCATTAAGATCGCTGTTGCCTGATCCTTTTATCAAACACATGGAAGCGCGTGGATGTGTATTTGAATGGAGAAATAAAGTGTTTCAGGTATGTAGCAAACTACCAGAACTAACTTTCTTAACTTGAACCTGTGGCAGCAGCAACACTTTCTTTACCCAAGCAATAAAAATGTGGATATCATTGCTGTACCTTGCCTTCTCCATAGACTTAGATTAGTACCATGATCTGATAATTTGGAACGTGTAATCAAATAGAAGTGAGGCTGACCTTTGGCCCCAAGTTTTAGTACTAGACTTCAGACTTTCAGAGAAAAAGCCTATTTTGGTCTCTGACAGTCCTTTGCCAGTTTTCTATAATTTAGTCCTTCAATCCTAAAGATAGTGGTGGTGTTTCACCCTTCCATTCAATGTCATTCAAAAATCAATGCCAAAGTCATCGAATTGTTGGCATGGACATTGTTTATCTGGTACCTTTAGCACTTCTATTGAATTTTTATGCATATTTTTTGATGGAGATAGTATGGAGGCATTATTGTATAATTACTGCTAAATCTGGTTGTTACTTAGATTACTTTTGTCCCATTTGCAGGCTGAAGTGGATCCCAAGTGTTGGAAACTACAGTTGGAAGATCCGACGCATTAGAAACTTTTCTAATCTTTGAATGCAAAATATGGCGGATGGGGGAGGAGTTTTCTCTTTTGTAAAGCGTAAAAGATCTTATTTTGATTGTTCATGGAGCTTTCAAAACACCTCAGAATTCGTTACACATAACGGTGTTACCCTTTTGTAAATTGTTGAAGCAATGTGGCTAGGTTAGCTTGAATGATACTCGCTATTTTGGGAGAAAATATAGAAATTCTCTTTGGAGCAGAGTTTATCTTTAACAGTGGGTTCTTTTTGAGACTAAATTATCAGTGTACTCGAATTTTTCTTGATCTCTTATTAAATGGCTTTTCTAGAATTATTCTGGGATCAATTAGAGTCATTGGCGTTGAACGAAGTACTAGATACAATTTAATAATATTATGTGTTTGCTATTATATTCTTACAAATTGATATTCGGAAAAAAAATCCTTTAAAAATAAAAATATCAATAAAAAAAATATGACTACAATTTAACTGTTAGGCTTTTTTTTTTTGTCCCTGGAGATAGCTCTCATGTTAGACTTTATGCTAAATATGTGGGAGCATATCTAGTGAAAAAACTATTTGCATATAAACTATACTTGTAGGCTTCATCCGAAATAAGACTCATTAAAGAGAGAGAGAGAGTATTATTATGAAAATGATACACGCACATGTATCATTTTTTTTCGTTAGAAAAGTCTTCGTTTTTTTTTTGTTTTTTGGGGAGAAGTGAATCAAAGGGGCTGCTCGTTGGCCTCTTTTATAAGCAACAATTATCATCCCTTTTTATCCCTAAATATAAGTAACATTTACAAGTGTCTTAAATTTTCATAAGAAGTTCCTATTGATTCATATTAATTACTTATTTTAATATTAATATATTTATTATCTTATTTCTCAAAACATCATCTCTATCATCACACTTTCTTTCTTTTTCATAATTTTTTTTATTATACTAATTTTTTATTCTCTTTCTTATATTCTCTCTCGCCCATAAACAAAGGTATTTTAGAGAAAAAACTTCTAATTTTTTCTATTTATTCTCTTTTACTAACTTTTTAATCTACGTAATAAAAGTCTAAAGTTATTTATAAAAAAGAACAAAAGGAATGTTTATGAATGAATTTACCAAAAATATTTTTTTAAAAAAACACACAGAACTCATTTCGAGGGCAATTACTTGCAAGAAAATAATTTCCAGCAAGTTTTAATCACAAATGAGTAGTTGTTATTTATTATCCTGAAGCTTGTCATTGTTGACTGTTCTATTATCACTGACACTTTTTAATAATTATGTTATTTACTTAAGATTTCACAATAATTCTTCCTTAATTTTATGAATGTAACCAAATGAGTGTTTGGCTAAACAAAAAAGTGATTTCATGCAAATTGAGACAAAAATCCTCTTATGTACTTACTTCATATACTATAAAATTACTTTTTAAAACCATGATGTGATTTCCACGCAATCACTCCCTCCTCTCTAAGTTGAAGGGCCAGAGATGAGAATGCACCAAGAAAGCCACAAACCTGCCGCGTAGACTTGGGTTGGGTTGTTGCAAACAGTCATCTTTGTCACCAATTGTACTAACATTGAATAGTACCCCTTGTTGAAGTTGTATGGTCAATCCCCCACATGTCTTATTTACATCCATTCAATAACTTCAATCATGAGAGTGTTCTGTGTAGGCCCCAACATGAACTACACATTCCTGGTTTGTGTGTATCGTATATTTCATCCTATTTCATGTTTAATATTCCTAGTATTGATTTGTTATAATACTAAGTGGCGCCATGTTGGAAGCAAACAAATAATATAATTATGCTTTAAAAAAAAATCATGTTCTTATGTGAGAGAGTATACAGCTAAATGGCTCATGGCTGAGCAGATCCTAAGTTTTGTATTATAATTTCTTTCAACGGTGGTTTGCTAAGATTAGATAAAATATAATCTAAATTATATTTGGATCAACTGTAAGCATAATAAGAGGATCATTTGAAATGTAAATTTTGCAAAACTTTATAATTTATTTGTGCTCTTCCTTTTATTATTTTGTCTCTCAAAGATTTACAAATTTCATAGTAAAAACAAAATCCAAATTATAGAAATATGAATCCTTCTTAAAATCCCTATGCAAATGAGAAGGTGGGTAAAAACAAAAGGTCCCACCGGGAGTCGAACCCAGGTCGCTGGATTCAAAGTCCAGAGTGCTAACCACTACACCATGGAACCTTTATTGACAAGAACTTTAATTACATATATTATATCTATTCTCCCTGTCCCTGCGGGCTTAATCACACTTGTGTTAGAATGATTAGCATTAAGTTTTCAATTGGAAAACTTATAAATTCCCATTACTAATTTACCGTTTATATCTGTCCATCATAAGAACTATAATTTTTTGATCGAAATCATAAGAATTATAATTCATGATATAAGCAAAGAAAAAAAAGAATTATAATTCAAATGACATAAACATTCCCCAAAATATTCTGTCTTTAGAATCAGAATTAGAAATGCTATTGCTAGCTTTCTTTTTTTGACCAGAAAAATTCTGACCTTTCAAGACTCGTTATTGTGGTAATTTACATTTCTAATAATAAATATATAATATAAATAGTAAAAGTAAAAAAAGTCCCCCGTTTTTTTAAGGGCTGAAACCATTCCCTTATCATTTGAACTAACCCAAGATGGCTTAAATACTTTTTATTAACACTAGATTTAATTTTATTATCAATATACAATATTTCTACCTAAATATAATGACACTGCATCCAAATATTGCAGAACATGAATAACAAAATAAAACTTTAGACATCTTTCAAAATCAAATCTCATGTGATTAAGTTTGAACAAATGTAAGAAGACAGAATATTGATCCAAAAAATACATAAGAAAACATTTATAAAATATTTTATTCTGGGACAATTTTTATATTTCAAATTTAATTTTTATTAACTTTTATACATCAATACAAAACATAAAAATTTATGATAAATCATGCTACAACATTATCTTCTGCTCCTATTTATAATATAGAGACAAAAATATTTTTTTATCATATTTATAAATCATGTCATTAAATTTTTAATATAAGTGTATTGTATATTAATTAAACGAGAATAAAATTAGAAAATGATTTAGTTTTTAAACACTTAAAATTTTTTTAGCACAGAGAAATATACTGAAAAGTAAGTTATAAATCATAATTGGGAAGAAATTAAATGGCATAGAAATTATGAATTAAATCGAAGAAATTCATTCAGTAAGTTTACAAATTTGGTGTGATACATGAAAAAGCGTGTAATTGTAATAAATTGGGACTCAAAAAAGGGTCCAGTGAAATGGGGAGAGAGGCATGAATTAGGGACAAGGATGGCCCGTAACAAGACACGTGGCCCCCCACAACACATCACAATCCTATTAACCAGCCAGCCGCCTCTCTCCTTCTTCCTCCTCCTCCTCCCCAGTCAAACCCACAAGCCTTGACCCGTCTTGGATTTTCCACAGTCAAACTTCCCCCCTTTTGAGCTTCTCCGAAGTATCTCCCCTGACTTCTTTTACATATCCCTCCCTCCGTCCCTCCTTCTCCTTTTATATGCCTTCACGCCCCTCTCCCTCATTTGAATTCAAACCCGAGCAGAGCTTCTCGTCTTCCTCTCATTTCATGACGACCTCCTTCACAGAACTCCTTTCCATGGATGATCGCTGGACTTCTTCTGAAATCCCCAAATTCAAGTCAACCCCGCCTCCTTCTCTGCCCCTTTCTCCCTCCCCTCTCTCCCCTTCCTCTTACTTGTCTTTCCCGTCCGGGTTCAGCCCCACCCAGTTCTTGAGCTCCCCCTTGTTCCTTTCATCCCCAAATGTGAGTTCTACTGTTCCTTTTCTTTGTTCTTGTTGTTCTGATTTGATGCTTTTGCTCGTTTTCTGATCGTGGGGTTTCTGTGTTTTTTTCTGTGGTTTTAGGGTCTTCCTTCTACTGAGACGTTTGATAACAAGGAGGAGCAGCAGAAACCATTCTCTGACTTCTCCTTCCAAACCCAATCCAAGCCGTTGTCCTTCTCGGAGTATTCTTCGAGCATGTTTCAGGCGGTGAGTTCTGTTCTATTCTTGCGTAACATGGACGACCTTGACTGGACTAGTTTCTTGTTTTTACTTCTGCGTAAACGGTCCTTTGAATTGTCTTCTTCCTTCTTCCCTTTTTTTTTTTTTTAATCTTTCCTTTGTCCTTTTTTGTCAGTATATTCAAAGTTTGATCTTTTCGTAACTAAAACAATATTCAGATTTCGAAAACTCAACGATTATATGCTGAAGTTGCAAGTATTTAACTGTCAAGAATATAAACGGATGTTTTTTGTCCTGACAGACAATAGACTATGTTATAATTCTCAAACTACATAATCAGAACTGACAAAATAATTTGTTGATGTTTCGTGCAGCAGGAACCACTGAAACAAGAACCATGGAATGACCAGACAGCCACAAAATCTGAGTATCCATCATTCTCCTCAGAACCACAGATACAAACCAATTTGGCTCCCGCTTCTGGTTATACGAACTACTCAAATTCGTCCCAGTCCATAAGAGAGCAAAAGAGGTCAGATGATGGGTACAACTGGAGAAAATATGGACAGAAACAGGTGAAGGCAAGCGAAAATCCTCGCAGTTATTACAAGTGCACGCATCCCAGTTGCAACATGAAGAAGAAGGTTGAGAAGTCCCCGGATGGACAAATTACTGAGATAGTATATAAGGGAACGCATAACCATCCCAAGCCTCAGTCCACTAGAAGATCTAGTTCTCAATCAATTCAACCTTCTTCCTCTTGTACCAATTCTGGTGTTTCTGATCAATCGGCGGTGACCCTGGGGAATCTGCAAATGGACCGGGCCTCTCTGCAAGAAGATTCTTCTGTCTCTGTTGGGGAAGATGACTTCGAGAACACATCACAAGCATGTTACTCTGGGGGTGATGACAATGACTATGGCCCGGATGCCAAAAGATGGTAAGGCCATATAGTATAGTATTACAATGTTAATACCCTGCTTTGATTTACATGACAAGATCTGATTCTGATTATTTTCTGTTCCCTTTTTGTCAGGAAAGGAGAGAATGAAATTGATTGCTATGCCTCCTCTGGGAATAGAACTGTGAGGGAACCAAGAGTCGTAGTTCAAACTACAAGTGAAATTGATATTCTTGATGATGGCTACAGATGGAGGAAATATGGTCAGAAAGTAGTTAAAGGAAACCCAAACCCAAGGTATTTAACTGATTCTGATAAAACCCCTTTTAAGAAACCTTGATTGCAATTTCTTTTTGTTACCATTTGGCTGAAACTGATCAAATGCTTGTATCTGCAGGAGTTACTACAAGTGCACAGCTCCAGGCTGTTCAGTGAGGAAACATATAGAGCGAGCTGCTCATGATCTGAAAGCTGTGATCACAACGTACGAAGGGAAACACAACCATGATGTTCCTGCAGCACGAGGGAGTGGGAGTTATAACCTGAACGCAGCTTCTCTGAACAACAACACCACCAGCAACAATGTAACCGCGCCAATAAGGCCATCGGCGTCTTCTGCACTGACCAGCTTTTCAGGCAAACCAAGCTTCACACATTCGCTTCATAACACAAGCCAGCCAACACCTGCAAGTCAAGAACCATTCCCATTTGACATGTTGCAGAGCCCAGCAAGTTTTGCATACTCTGATTTCGTCAGATCAATGGGATCGTACAACACTGATGCATGATACGCTAAGGCCGAGGATGAGAAGAAGGAAGGTTCATTCCTTCAGTCATTATCGTCCAAAAGGAAGGAAGCGTCTATACACAGACATGGCTTTGTATAACACATACGATATTAGGCACTTATAGAGGAATAGAAACAAAGAATCATGGAAATAATAAGGGACAAGAAGGATTTTAACAGTCAACATAAATGTAGGACATAGGAGGTGGTACAGCTGATGATTTATGTTATTCTTTTGTTGTATTTGTTTAGTTCGAAAGAGAGAGATTTTCATGTAGACTTGACGTATTTGTGCCACTTCTTGCCTTCAATAAAGATTATTAGCAATGAAGTTTTAAATTTCATATTTGCATCGCCTCAGCCCAGGAAGTTAAACACGCCCACACAACACAACAAATTTCTGCTACTCACATGAGTTCTAAACTGTTGTCTTTGAGATATTGAATTGTGAATAATGATGAAATGCCTTGCAGTTTTAAGGATGGATAAGACTGGGTAAAAATTGCAGTTGCCTTCTGATTTGGCGGGAGTAAGAATAAACAAGGTTCAGAATAGGCTCACCGTGTTAAGAATTAGTCAAAGGATATACAAAACCATTGAACGGAGTCAAAAGTTTCCTTCCTTTTTTTTATGATTAAAGTGGAAATTTTTATTCAGAAATATAAAAAGCGAGGTCTAATGACATGAAAAGCTTTAGAACTTTGAACACAAAACACTACTCTCACACTCCAAACACCTCTTACAATCTCTTTCATTCTTCTTCACACAAAGGTAATGTACAGACAAACAAAGGTATGATGGATGCAATCTAAGTATGTTTAAGAAATGAAAGTATATATAATTATGAAGAAGTTCAGATATAAGATTGGGTTGATAATTTGTAGCCAGAAAGAAGGGAGGAAGCAGCAGCAGCAAAGAAGGCCAAGAAGCAGAAGCTAATGGCTGCAGCCGAAGAGTCTGTGAATATATTGTCAGATCCTTCCCTCATCCTGTTTGTCAATGGAACCGCCGAAGATGATGCTGAGATCAACAAATACGCCATTATCTGCATTCACAAAATCAGATGATCGCTTACTATAGGCTTCAAAAATTTTAGCATTTCTTAATAAGATCACCTATTCATTTTTTAATTCTTTGGCCTCAATAAATCAATAAATCACCTTTCATTGACTTAGTAAGGCATTTCTTTTATAATATGATAGTAATGGTGGAAGTCCTTGGTAATATCTCGTTCTTAAGTTATAATGTCAATACAAGATGTACAAGTGAAAGACTCTTTAGTCTTTACAACAAGGGGAATATAATAACACTATATATATTTTTTAATTAGAGCCATTTGACAAACGAACATATTTATTCACGACAATTAAATTCTTTTTTCTTTTTTTAATTTAGACAATGAAACTTTCAAGTTTGAACCATTCAAATGAAGTGTCTGGTCTGCCTCCAAAATACAGGTCAACTTAAATTATACAGGGGGGCCATGTGTAGGACCCAATAACTTATACATTATATAAAATTTATTTATATACGCTCTCAGTCTTTAATATAAGAGCTAGTTGACTAATTTAAGTAATTAAAAAAATTAGTTAAATTAGTTATTTTGTAATAAATAGATGTTATCTTTCTTAAAATATCCTTACTAATCAAGTATATTGACTATAACTATTATTATTATAAGAATTATTTTGAAAAAAAAAAATATTGAGAGTCAAAGTAGATTGAGACTTTATATTTAGAATGAAAATAAAAGTTAAACAAACTCTTATATTAAAGACAGATAGATGGTATTATATATATAAACTTTACAAGTAGGATCACTAAGAACCAGTGGGAAAGTTCTTCCATATGAACGCACTTTTATATTACTTGACAAATAGACATTCATTTTCAATCCCTTCGTGGGGGTAACTTCGAACAAAGTCTAGTTTCTAAGCTACCTATTCAACCTTTTCAGAATTACGAGTGGCTCGTCTTAATTAATAATCTTTAATTAAATGGTGTGACGTGCTCAATAATTGTACAAGATTAAATTATAAATAAACTCCATATATATTTGAGGGTTAATTACTTAATTAAATAAATTCATTTAATTATTTAAATACGCAATTTTCGTCGTGCGTCCTTTATATGTACACAGAAGTTCTTTTTTTTTTTTTTACCGGCAAGATTATTGTCCTTAACTCACATAGAATAATCATAACCCGCCAACTTCTGAAAATCTTAAGAGGACATATATGGCATTATAAAAAGAAAAAAGGGGCCGGTTAATAGAAATTGAGGAAGGAATAGGAAAACCTGATCTCCTATGAAGTCCAACGGCAAAGCTGTCCTGGGATCCAGAAAGTTCTTTCCGGTAGAGATTTCCTGAACTTGCCGGAGCACTTGGCCGCCGGTGTACAGTGTCGATAAAATCGATATCGCCAGAACATACCTGTGCGGAATTACGGATGCATATTCAGTATCCCAGAAACAAACAAAACTGAACTTCGATTTAAATTTAGAAAGAAAAAAAAAGGGTTCTCCGATACAAATGCTCCGTAGCTAGCAATTTTGGAGTTAAAATGAAGAACATAGCAACCCCATTGGCATTTGCGGTGATTGACAACGGAAACAGTAATCAAATTTTCATGAAAGCCTAGGAAATTTCAATCCATTCGACAAGAAATATGGAATAAAAAAATGAAAGGAAGATAGAGATGGGAGATTAAATTGCCTATATTCCGGGTATCTGTCGAAATTTTTCCAATCGCCGTGCTTATTGGAGGCCATGACGATGAAACTGATCAGAGAGAAAAGCAGGGCAATTCCTCTCAGTACCAACGAGCCTTTCTTCAACAAATCGTCCCTCTTCCATCGCCTTAATATTCCACCATCTCCGCCGCCAATTCGCGGCTGCGTTTGATCCTGCTCTAAATCCGGCAAAGGCGACGCCGGTGCCTGTTTGGCCGGAGAAGATCGAAATTCGTCTTTGTCGGTGAATCGGGAAACTCCGACATCTCTATCCGAATAACAAATTCGGAAAAATGAGAATGAAGGAATGAAGATGAAACTGAAAGAGGGGAATTTGGATATTTTGCTTTAAGACAGGAAAGTGTGATCTGTGAATGTTTTCGGTTGAGAAGTTTGGAGTGAGAGCAAATCGTTAAGGTAGTTAAAGAAGGAAGAGAGTGAGAGCGAGGCGTGAAGTGTAATGGCGGGATGACGTGGCGTCGGATGAATGGCCTTAAGAAGCGGATCACGGCAAGGCATTCCCTCTCGATATGCGTGCCAGCTGTACGAAGTGGACCCACCACCGAAACGCCCAAACCAATGTTCTATAAATCGTCGTTTTTGTTTCACATTCTGTTGTGGCTTCTCTTTATAAAATATAAAATAGCAACATTTCAAAACTTTTAGTTTTTTTTCACATGTTGCTTCAGAATTGAGAAAGGGCATGTCTGTTCTCCTGAAAGAATAAATACTACTATCTCATATCCTAATTATAAGAGCTAATTCACTAATATGAGAAGATTAAAAAAATAAGTTAAGCTAGTTATTTGTAATAAATACGTATTGTTTTCTAAAATATTCTTACTAATTAATTGTATTAATTGTTATAATTACTATTATTAGAAAGATTACCTTGAAAAAAAATACATAAATATGAGGAACAAATTAGATTGTGGTCTTATGTTTAGGACCGAAATAAAAGTTAAACAAGATCTTATATTAAGGACTGGAGGCAATACTTTTGGTCTTAATTACAGAACCGTATTTATAAATTACAAATGAGGTCTTATAATTAAAGTCAGGGTAATGTAATAAAGCCAAGGGAGTATTCGAAATTCTTTTGGCTTTTGGTTTAGAAATCTGTGACTGTAAAATATGTTTGAAATGGGAAAAATAGTATTAAAAATAGAATGAGTGAAACAAAGCGTGAACTTATTTCTCGGATCATTTAAACATATATAAGAAATATTTGTATTTGATTAAAACTTCTGTTTGGGTGTTGTTTCCTTTTGTTATAATGGTAATATTTTTACTTTAAAAAACTGTATAACACAGAACTTAATTGTTTCTTTAAAGCGGTATGTAGATAAGAAATACAATCCAAAAGGTTTGAAGTTTATCTTAAAGATAAGTAAGTAATGCTCTTCTTTTTTAAAAAGGAAAAAGAAAAAAAATTAAAGTGTTTTAACTGCTGGTTTATTATTATAATATTATTTATAAAGAATCCTATTACGCATATAATTGTGATGTTTTGAGGTAAAAGAAAGTTTTGGCGATGTAACGTGGATCTGTGGGGCAGTCAATGTGATCTGAAGTTGGGCCTAACGGGCCAGCATGACCAACCCATGGGCTGGGCCCAATGGAGAAGAAATGGGACTAATACTAAAAGAGTGGGAAGAAATGAAGAATTTTGGGTATGGCTTGACATATGCTTCTGGCTCTCCCTGCGACAGAAGCTTCGAGATCGGTCTCTCATTCCACCTGCTTCCAGCTCACGCTGATTTGGATTCCCTCACAAAGCGGCTGCCCGCTGCTTCATGATCAACACATCCCCAATTTTTTTTTTTGTTTCCTTGGTATCTGCCAATTCTTTATTAATATTATATATATACACACACTACTTCCTATCTTAATTATACTACCTCTCCGATCCTTAATATAAGATCCTATTTGACTTTTATTTTGGTCCTAAATATAAGACTCCAATCCATTTTGTCTCTCATATTTACTCAATTTTTGCCAAGATAATCCTTTTAATAATTATAGTTTTAGTCAATACACTTGATTAGCAAGGATATTTTAGGAAAGACAACACCTATTTAGGACAAATAACTAACTCAACTTACTTTCTTAATCTCCTCAAATTAGTCAACTGGCTCTTATAATTAGGACCGGAGGTAGTAAGATCTAGTTTATAGTCTATAAACAGAGTTTTATAATTAGGACTGGAGGTTGCATTATAAGCTTGTTTGAAATGGCAAAATAATCCTTTTAGAGTAACTTCTAATTTTAATTTGTGGAGTATGAAAAGTATTCCCTCTGGTTCTCATTATAATCTTCAAATAACTACTTACGAATAACGAATAATTAGTTAAAAGTAATGAATGGGTTAGAACTATATTTTTGTTTTCAAAAATAGCCTTATGATAAATGAGAAAACAAATAAAAGAGTATGTGTGGAGAAATATGAACAAAAAGATTATGATAACAGAGAAAATAAATAATTAAAAACAAAATAAAAAAAAACAGATTGAATGTTAAAACAAATTCCAAGTAAAATTTATAAAATAAATCATATTTTTTACGAATTTAAAACTTATAAATAAAATAGGAGGGAACAGGTTAAAAACAAGTACTTTTGACTTTTGAGTGTGCCAATCGTCCAAACCAGCGCTAAACATCCACCAGAGCTGATCATATTCATAGCAGCTAAAGTACAAAGCTCTTACCATAGGGCCGTGTTTGAAATGATAAACATTATATCATGCTCCTTCCAATCTTTTTTTTTTTTTTTGTGGGTAAGGATATACCAGTATTAATTACTTTACATTAATTTAAAAAATAATTAATTTTTATAAAACTTTACTATTCTTAAAATTACCATTAATCATCTTTGGCCAAAAAAATTTTTTACCATTAATCACCAAGATTGAAAATGTAAAATTTATAAAAAGTTATGTCACAAATTAATAAAAAATGCCTTATAAATAAAACTAGACGAAATATATTTTTAAAAAATTAAACAAAAACCTGTAACATTTCGAAAATCTAATCAATGACTTTTGAGTCGTTTTCAGGCATAAAATCTTGCAGGCTAAGTTTTTATTGGACCCCAAAAGGCTTTTGTTTGGAAGAAGGGAAGAATAAGAGAATGTGTAATGCGGGACACTTGTCATGAATAGTTATGTAATTTACTGGTTATTGGAATATAGACACTTGAAAATGACAGCCAAACAAATAAAGTACAATGAATATTCCCTTCAAGAAAAAGGTATTAAATCAAAATAATTATATACCCCTCGGATCCTTAATATAAGAGTTAATTGTTAAGTTAATTTTGGTTCTAAATATAAAAGCTATTTCTAATATTGATCAATTTTTTAAATTACTTTTATAGACACTCCTTCAATCATAATTAAGTAGAAAAGGGAGAGAGGATATTAAAAAAATGATTATAGTGTTTTAAGAAAAAGATGTCATATTTCTTATAATTAACTAACTTATCTAACTTTTTTAATCTAATAAAATTAATTAAATAGATCTTATATTAAAAATCGGAGAAATACTCAATATATAATTGTGGGCATATGGATACACCAAACGTGGGCCAGTCCAAAAATTGATTCCACATGACAGGTAAGAGAGCACGCATTATTAGATGCCAATTATTGTTATCATTATCTTCAAAAAATGATTGGTTATTCCAAATATGCCTTCCTTTTTATGTCGCCTAATCCGATTAAAAAGCAAACATAAAGAATATAGGTTTTTCCCCTGCCTTGCCTTGCCGGCCTGGATTGTATGCCAAGTTAGATGAACATTTTAAAAATTTCAAAAATGTCTTCTCTTGGAAATATTTTTTTCCTGCAAAAATGGTTTGTTTTAAACCTGATGTTGTCAAATTTCATGCATGATTAAATTTGTGTAATCATATGATATATTCAAGCAATAGAAAAAATATATATAAAATATTTTTCATTCTTTTCCTTCTCATCCTCCATGTATTACAAATTTGCAATAGCTTATTTTGGTTTGGCTTATAATATGTAACTAGTACTAATGATGGGTTTTTTTTTTTTTTAATGTGTAAGGTTGCATGTTGAACCCCTCTCTAAGAAATAAATAAAGCTACGTATTTGGTTTTTTAACAGTGTTTCAATTTAATCCTTTAAATTTTGAATAATATTTTTTATAATAATCATGGTTATTTTAAAAATTAAATCTAATATATTATATTATTATTTGGTAGCGATTTATCAACATTTAAAATCTTATTTATGTGTCATAAATTAAATCTAATATATTATTTTTTTATTAACAATTTTAGAGTTAGGTAACTAAAAATATACTTTTTAAATCTAAGAAACCAAATACCTTATATAAAATTAAATGAGCAAAATTATACTTTTGCATAAAAATATAATGATCACATTTGCTATGATTAGAAAAAAATAATTATTCGCCATGTCTTGAGATTTAGGAATATTAAGAAACTCAATGTTGATAAGTGTCAAAACTATCCACATCGCTATCTATGGTTTTTGTTCATTTCTTCCTATGTGATCTCTTTCCATATTTGTAGACACAACATGAATCTACTTAGGATGAAATCTAACATTATTGAAAATCACATATTTTCACATTCTATTATATCATTCAAAGCTTGAGTTTAGACATGCACTTTCTGTTGTTTCCTAAGTCAATTCACCATGAAACCATAACAATATCATACAAAAATCATACGAAAACACCTACTTTTTTTAAATATAAAATTATTTTAACAATATTTCCTAAATTTTTTACATATTAATTAAAAATAGCCATCTTTTTTTTAATTTTAACAATTCATTAAAAAAAATCTCATATTCAAGACGGGGATAAAAAGTTTATAATTTTGAATAACAATATGTTTCAATTAGAAGTTTGTATAAATATTAATTGGAGATTTACTACTCCTTCTTAGTTACAATTTTTGGAATGGATATTTTTCTCCTTATAAACTACATTTTAAATGTATCTAAATATTTAATGCATTTTTTTATTTTTTGCTTTTAATTAGTTACATGTTTTTTATTTTTATCTTACTCGTTGTTTTTCATATTTTCTACTCATTGTCTCTCCTCTCTATTTTTTCACAAACAAAAGTGTTTTTGAAGAATAAGTTATAATTCAGTTATTTGTATATTTATATATAAAAAAAGAAGGATTAGTTTTGACAAAAGACAGGTATTATTAAATGGGAGGAACGAAGACAACAGGGGAAAAAAGTAAAAATAACGGCTATCGCAGGCTTTTTCTGTTTTTTGTTGCGCCCACTGGAATGCTCGCTAAACGCCGACCACCGACTCAGCCAGTCAACGGTAACCTCCGTTTGCCTTTGCCGCGCAATCTCCCCTTTCACGCGTGGCGCCGGCCTGGCCTGCTTGGCTGCTTCCCTCTACACATTTCTAAACATACTACTTGAAAATAAAAGCGTAATGTTACCCCTATGCTAAATGCTTCCTCACATCCATTCTTTTACTCGTGATATTTTTTTAGTGTAATTTTATTATTATCTCCGATTCCAATTATTTCTCCGATCCTAAATATAAAACTCTTATACTAGTATATATAAGATTAGGTTCTAAATATAAGACTCGTAAAGGTCTTATATTTAAGATCGAAGGAGTATAAGATTTCGTTTATAGTCTATAAACGAGATCTTATAATTAAGACTAGAAATAATATTATCTTGTTTTTCAATGTATCAAAATAAAAAGAACAGAATGCTAAATGTACATCAGAAATAAAATTGGACTTAAGATTATACTTTTAACCTTAAAATAAATAGAAAGAGCCCACCACCAACTGGGATTGGTCTGAGTGGTAAGCGGCTTGATTCTACTTAAGTGAGGTCTCGAATTCGATTCCTCATGGATACTGAAAATCTATAAAACTCTGGTGAATCGAGTGGAACCCAAAAAAAAACAGAAAGAGCCCAATAAACAATAGTTCCGTTTGACCGAATTGAAATTTTTGAGAATTTTTTAAGACTGAAGCTTGATGTGATGAGTTCTTGTACTAAGCGCAACGTCAAAAAATAACAGGACGAGTGAGTGAGAAGTGGCAAAAAAAACAAAAAGATTTCATTCATCAGTTTCCAATTGCTGTTTACAGAACAGCACGAGAATTTCTCTGATCCCTCTTCCATTTTTGACCTTTTTATACTTTTTCTTCCTTCTTCTCCAGATTTCTTTTTTAGTTTTTAATTTATGTTTCGTGAACATTTCCTCTTATTCTAATTTCGGCATATTATACTTGTGTCCCGTTCTCTTTTTCTCCTTTTTGTCCCCTTCTTTGTTTTTTTTTATTTTTTTTTCATTCCACTCACTTTCTCAAAATAAGAGCACAATTTGCAACGAGATTTTCGTGCACGTCTGGTCCAGGCATCAAATTACTTAACTCGCAAGGCATCATCTTTATTTTTAGACTTTCTGTTTTGAAGAAAGATTATATTCTTTTTAAAGAAGTGAATTGGATTATAGAGAATCTGAATTGGAATCAATCAAAATCTCTCACGCTCCGTATCAACGATTCACTTGGAAAATTTGACGAAGCTATGAACGGACAGGATTGCTCCGAGAACAAGGCTCGTGCAGATTTGCGTAAACCCCACAACACCAAATCCATATTCAAAGCTGAACCATGCCTCCCCCACATAAACACACTTCTAGATTTGTTATCAACGACGTCGTCCCGGTCTTAATCAGCATATCGTAATTGAAATTAAGATTTACGTCAGCCGGCGTCAACTTCAATTTTCATCACACTTAAATTTCATAATAATAATGAATCCGGACCTGATGTTAGTTTAAATTCAGCAGTTAGCAGTTGATTATTATACCATTATAATGGTATTGCAATTACTTATAATTAGAATTTAATTATGTAATTAACACGGAAGCTTGTAGAATTGCGTCATCATCTTCGTTCATGAAATTAGTGGCGCCAACTGTTTCAATTAGGTTACCAACATGGACTTGCCTCTTTACTTTGCTCCACTATTTCTCTTTCCTTTTTCTTTTAAAAAAAAATATAAAATGGGTTTATTTTTTAATGTTGGCCAATTAGATATTGCCAATCAATTAAATGTCACATCTTTGAGTTGTTACTTATTATCATCCCAAAGAATGATTCATACGGTTCTTAGAATTATGAGTATTAATTTTAATTTTTTTTTAAAACATAGGTATTCTCTTATTGAAGGTATTCCTATTCGAAACACTGTTAGGCACTAAATGTGGGTACCTTTTACAACCGGGATTCAAACCTTAATTCATCACGTTGGGAGGGACTAGCTTCTTTCTCTACACCCAACCCCTGTTGGTGATTTAAATTTTTTTAAATTTGAATGATAAAACCTACTCCTCCATCTACACATGATCCATCAAGTCTCATCATGATCCATTATGTCAAATGGAATAGAAAGGCCTGGCCCTTGGCCTTTCTGGAACTCTCTACGTGTCCTATTATGTATCTATACATGTATGTATAAGCCAAACTTCACAATTTTATATTCATGAATTATAAGTGTATTTAGATAATCTTAGATTATATGCAATGTTCAATGCCCACATCTCATTTGGATTAATTCAATGGCAAAAAAAATTCCGATTAATTCGTATGGTTTATAAAAGTCCTATTTACCATTACGATTAAAATCACTTATAAACAAATTTCATGTAAATTAAGACAAAACTCATATATTTACTTTGTATTCTGTAAATTCTTATTAAAAAATTATTTATAAACTGCTCTAAATGGGCGTAAAGTGTATCACTTAACCATTTGGCCGAACCAAACAAATACGGACGGAAGAATAAAAGTAGGCTTTTTTACTAATATACTGCAAACAGTAAAACATATTACCAAAATCCTGCAAAGTGAAAATTATTTACCAGAATACTATACTTAAAATCGTTCATGTAAAGAACGAGTTTAAGATTGTAAGGAAGTCGTTCATGCGAAGATGAATTTTACCTTTGCTATTTGTCCCATTGTCCTAACAAGTCTGACACATACATTATTTTGAATAAAAAACTAAACTTCATCACACATACATCGATTTTGCCTTGCTCTCTCCTCTCTCTTCTCTCCTGCCACCGGAATCAAACGGAATATTTGAAAATTGATGAGTAAGGAATAATTTGAAAAAACACACGGTGATGGCTATTTGGGGGAGGAAAAAATGATTGATAGAGGTAATGTACAAATTATGGGATGGAGTAAAATAGGAAAATCAAATATATACTCACTTAATTCTTAATGTAAGATTTATTTATCTAATTTAAATAAATTAAAGAAACTAAATTAATTACTTGATTATGAATATGAGAAAGAAGGTAGATAAATGACTTACACTTAGAATCAAAATTTACCCTCAGACTAAATCCTACATTCAAGATAGGGGGAGTATATTATATCAAAAAATGTAAAAGTATTTTTTTCCCAAATGTAAGACTTTTATCTATCTTAATTCTCATATTTATTATTTTTTCTAAATATAAGACCTTTATCTATTTTATTTCTCATGTTCATAATTTTTTTTTCTAAATGTAAGATCTTTATCTATCTTATCTTTCATATTTATATCTATCTTAATTCTCGTATTTATCATTTTTTTTTCAAAAATATAATATTTTTATTTATTTTATTTCTTGTATTTATAATTTTCCCTAAATGTAAGACCTTTATTTATATTATCTCTTATATTTATAATTTTTTTTCAAACTAAAACACTTTTACATTTTTTGATATAATATATTCCTCCTGTCCTGAATGTAGGACTTAGTCTGAGGGTAAATTTTGATCCTAAGTGTAAGTCATTTATCTACCTTCTTTCTCATATTCATAATCAAGTAATTAAAATAAATATTGCTTCTTCAGGATTAAAAACAAAAAAGTTTTAGGGAGTTGATTTGGATAGATGAGCATGAACTATCTAATCCATGGCAATTGCGTCATTTAGGAGAAAAGGAAGGGCAATTGAGGAATCAGAGATGGAGACGCTTCCTTCGTCTGCGCAGCTCCATCCGCATTCGCACCGCGTGCAACCAGCTATCCCGGTCATCCCTCCACGCCGCGTTACTGCTTCATCTCTCTTCTTTCTTCCCTTTTCTTTATCTCTTTTTCTCTGCAGAAACTCTCCTCAACCCCCACAATCTCATCTCCTGAAACTGACTTCTCTCAGCTCTCGCACAGACCTCCCACTAATGGTCTCACTCTTCTCTGCTTCCTAGGGTCGCTCCATTTCTCGCAGCCATGTCATCATCCCGTTTTGCTCCTATTTTCGCTTTCTATTCCCCCATATCTCCCTCCCTCTCGTCCAGAAGACCCGTCCTCATCGGCGCTAACCACACCTCCGCTCGCTTCTCCTCCCGATAATTCTCTTCCTGGAAAACCGTACCTTTCATTCTTTTTCTCCTTGAGTTCTTCACCAAAGAAGAAAAACTCCGGCTTTCATTCATTTGTTTATTTTTTTGTGCATTCTTGCGTGAAATCAAATTTTTCTTCCGGAAAGGTGTTAAATCTGCTGCAATGGAGACTGCCGCTGCGAAGCCCGGCTTTCTCAGGAATATTCTCATACGGTTGCTTCTGTTTGGGGTTTTCATTATTGTCGTTCGGTTTGCTTATGTCATCACCATCGCCGGCGAGTCTTGCAACGTCGGCGACTTCTGCTTCTTCTCCCTTCCGGAGTCTCTCAACTTTGTAGTCGCCGGCTCGCGCCGGGGTTTTGGCTGTCGAGTCCAATGAGGCCATCGTTAGCCGATCTGCGGCGCGACCGGAGGTTTACTCGAGTAAAGAGTGGAATGAGGCCGTTAGTTTCTACTCATCCGTGTTCAAGGATCACGTATCTTATGGCTATAGAATCCTTTTAGGGTAACTTCTAATTTTAATTCGTGGAGTATGAGAAGTATTCCCTCTAGTTAATTTTCAAATAACTATTCACAGATAATGAATAATTAGTTAAAAAAAATGAAAAAACAAATAAAAGAGTATGTGTGGAGAAACGTGATAAGAAAAATTATGATAAAAAAAATAAATAATTAAAAACAAAATTAAAAAATATTTTAAATGTTAAAACAAATTAAAATTAAAATTTATAAATAAACCTTTCACAAATTTAAAATTTATAAATAAAATAAGAAGGAGTAGGTTAAAACAAGTACTTTTGACTTTTGAGTGTGCCAATCATCCAAAGCTCTTAGCACAGGGCTGCGTTTGAAAATGATAAACATTAATTTAAAAAAATAATTAATTTTTATAAAAATTTACTATTCTTAAAATTACCATTAATCATCTTTGGCCGCACAAAAAATTTACCGTTAATCACCAAGATTGAAAATGTAAAATTTATAAAAAGTTATATCACAAATTAATTAAAAAAATACCTCATAAATAAAACCAGACGAAATGTATTTTAAAAAAAATTAAACAAACACCTCCAACACTTGATCCCAATCAATGACTTTTGAGTCGTTTTCAGGCATAAAATCTTGCAGGCTAAGTTTTCATTGGACCCCAAAAGGCTTTTGTTTGGAAGAGGGGAAGAATAAGAGAATGTGTAATGCGGGACACTTGTCATGAATAGTTATGTAATTTACTGGTTATTGGAATATAGACAATTGAAAATGCCAGCCAAACAAATAAAGTACAATGAAATATTCCCTTAAAGAAAAAGGTATTAAATCAAAATAATTATATACTCCTCGGATCCTTAATATAAGACTTAATTATTGAATTAATTTTGGTCTTAAATATAAAAGCTATTTCTAATATTTATCAATTTTTTAAATTATTCTTATAGACACTTCTTCAATCATAATCAAGTAGAAAAGAGAAAGAGGATATTAAAAAAATGACTATAATGTTTTAAAAAAACATATCATATTTCTTATAATTAACTAACTTATCTAACTTTTTTAAATCTAATCAAATTAATTAAATAGATCTTATATTAAAAATAGGAGGAATACTTACTATATAATTGTGGGCATATGGATACACCAAACGTGGGCCAGTCCCAAAAAATGATTCCACATGACAGGGAAAAGAACACGTATTATTAGATGTCAGTTATTATTATCATTATCTTCAAAAAATGATTGGTTATGCCAAATATGCCTTCCTTTTTATGTCGCCTAATCCGATTAGAAAGCACACATAAAGAATATAGTTTTTTTCCCTTGCCTTGCCGGCCTGGATTGTATGCCAAATTACACGAACATTTTAAAATCTCAAAAATGTATTCTCTTGGAAAAAAATTTTTCTCGGAAAAATGGTTTGTTTTAAACCTGATGTCAAATTTCATGCATGATTAAATTTGTGTAATCATATGATGTATTCAAGTGATAGAACAAATAAACTCTTCTGATCCTTAATATAAGATCCATTTAACTAATTTGATTAGATTAAGAAAGTTAGGTAAGTTAGTTAATTATAAAAAATGTTACACATTTTTTCTAAAATACTATAATAATCTTTTTTAATACCCCATCTCCCTCTTTCACTTGATTATGGTTGAGGGAGTATCCATAAGGATAATTTAGAAAAAATTGATAAATATGAGAAATGGATCTTATATTTAAGACTAAAATCAACTTAACAATTAAGTCATATATTAAGGATTGGAGGAGTATAAAATATTTTTAATTCTTTTCCTTCTCATCTTCCATGCATTACAAATTTGCAATAGCTTATTTGGGTTTGGCTTATAATCTATAACTAGTACTAGTGATGGTTTTTAAATTTTTTTTTTAAATGTGCAAGGTCACGTGTTGAACCCCTCTTTAAGAAATAAATAAAGCCACATATTTAGTTTTTTAACTTTATACAGTGTTTCAATTTAATTCTTTAAATTTTAAATAATATTTTTGTAATAATCATGGTTATTTTAAAAATTAAATCTAATATATTATATTATTATTTGATAACGATTTATCAACACTTAAAATCTTAATATCATTATTTTTTATCAACAATTTTAGAGTTAGGTAACTAAAAATATACTTTTTAAATCTGACAAACCAAATACCTTGTATAAAATTAAATGAGCAAAGGTATGCTTTTGCATAAAAAAATATAATGAGCACATTTGCTGTGATTAAAAAATAATAATTATTCGCTATGTCTTGAGACTTGGGAATATTGAGAAACGCAACGTTGATAACTGTCAAAACTATCCCCATCGCTCTCTATGGTTTTTGTTCATTTCTTCCTATGTGATCTCTTTCCATATTTGTAGACACAACATCTATTTAGGATGAAATCTAACTTTATTGAAAATCACACATTTTCACATTCTATTATATCATTCAAAGCTTGAGTTTAGCCATGCACTTTCTTTTGTTTCCTAAGTGAATTCACCATGAAACACATAACAATATCATGCAAAATGCATACGAAATATCAAATTTTTTTAAAGATAAAATTATTTTATCAATTTGTCCTAAAATTTTTACATATTAATTAAAATAGCCATCTTTTTTTTTTTTAGAATTTTAACAATTCATTAAAAAAATCTCATATTTAAGACAGGGATAAAAAGTTTACAATTTTAAATAACAAGATGTTTGAATTAGAAGTTTGTATAAGTTCTAATCGGAGAGTTACTACCCCTTCTTAGTCACAATTTTTGGAATGGATATTTTTTTTCTTATAAACTAATTTCAAATGTATCTAAGTATTTAACGCATTTTTTATTTTTGCTTTTTTATTAGTTACATGTTTTTTATTTTTATCTTACTCGTTGTCTTTCATATTTTCTATTCATTATCTCTCCTCTCTATTTTTTCACAAACAAAAGTGTTTTTGAAAAATAGGTTATAATTCAGTTATTTGTATATTTATATTAAAAAAAAGGAGATTAGTTTTGGCAAAAGACAGGCATTATTAAATGGGAGGAATGAAGACAACAGGGGAAAAAAGTAAAAATAACGGCTATCGCAGGCTTTTTCTGTTTTATGTTGCGCCCACTGGAATGATCGCTAAACGCCCACCACCGACTCCGCCAGTCAACGGTAACCTCCGTTTGCCTTTGCCACGCAATCTCCCCTTTCACGCGTGGCGCCGGCCTGTCCTGCTTGGCTGCTTCCCTCTACACATTTCTAAACATATCACTTAAATAAAAATAAAAGCGTAATTTTACCCCTGTGCTAAATGCTTCATCACATCCATTCTTTTACTCGTGATATTTTTTTAGCGTAATTTTATTATTATCTCCGATTCTAATTATTATTTTGGTTCTAAATATAAGATTTTTATAGTATCAGAGGAGTATAAGATTTTATTTGTAATATACAAACGAGATCTTATAATTAAAACCGAAAGTAATATTATCTTATTTTTCAATGTGTCAAAATAAAAAGATCAGAATGTTAAGTGTATATAAAAAATAAAATTGGAGTTAAGATTATACTTTTAACCTTAAAATAAATAGAGAGAGCCTCATAAACATGAGTTCCGTTTGACCGAATTGAAATTTGAGAATTTTTTAAGACTGAAACTTGATGTGATGAGTTCTTGTACTAAGCTCAACGTCAAAAAAGATTTCATTCACCGGTTTCCAATTGCTGTCTGCAGGGCACGAGAATTTCTCTGATCCCTCTTCCATTTGTGACCTTTTTATACTTTTGCTTCTTTCTTCAGATTTCTTTTTTAGTTTTTAATTTATGTTTCGTGAACATTTCCTCTTATTCTAATTTCGGCATATTATACTTGTGTGCCGTTCTCGTTTTCTCCTTTTTGTTCCCTTCTTTGTTTTATTAGCTAAAGTATATTTTTAAGTCATTTAACGTTTTGTTTTAATCTTTTAATTTTAAAAAGTAAATTTTTAATCATTTAATTCTAAAATTATTAACAAAAAATGATTATATTAAGTTCTTGAATACTGATAAAATATTACCAAATACTAACATATTAAATTTAATGTTCAAAACAATTACGATTGTTACAAAAAATCATCATTTAAGATTAACAATTTTGAAATTAAAAGACTGAAAGTATACATTTTAAAGTTAAAAGATTAAGAGCCTGTTTGGTTAAGCGGTGGGATCTCAAATAAGCCCGTTTAAATTCAAATAAGTGCTTATGAAGCATGGTTAGGGTGTTTGGATAATTTTTATAGAATTCCGATGAATCGTGATTTTAACCTCCCACCGCACTTTTAGGATAAGCAATAAAAGATAGTTTATGCGTTTGAAAAATCCCGATGAATATTCAGTAACTAAATTTTCTCTAATCTACCCCTCATTCTAATGGTAATTATTTTAAATTTTTTTAAAAAAAACATACAATATGAAACTATTTTTCTTTTAATTTTATCTAAACAAAAATAAGATTACGGATGACATATGATTGAAACAACACAATCAAATATTTAGGTAATATTCTGATTCTAGGAGCATTGTTAAATTAAGAAAATAATGATGACAAATAATTTTTCAGCTTATTTTTATATTTATTATTGTTATTTTATCTAAAATGATATCTCTCCATTTACTCTTCCACAAATCTCTCTTCAAATATTATCTCCACATATTTTGCCTACAATTTTTCAACCTAAACGGCTAAACCACTTCAAATAATAATAATTTTAAAATAAAAATAATATTTAAATATTCATGTCATTTATTAAATTATATTTAATAAAATTTATTATTAAATATAATAATTATGAAAATGTAAACAACTTTATTAACTTCATGTCCTTTTTAGTAATTATATACCCATAAGTGATTTTAACGAATAAAAACCAAACA